CGGGGGCGCAGCCGGCGCTCTTGAGCAGCTCGCTGAAGAGCAGCAGGATGTGCCAGTTGTACTTGGCCGAGCACTCCACGTAGCCGCACTTCCAGGTCTTGCGCACCAGGTGTGACACGTTCCAGCGCGGGATCACGCGTCCGCGCTGCAGGTCCCTCTTGTTGCCCACGATGATGATGGGCGTCTCCGAGGTGCCGATCACCCTGCTGGGCGAGATGGGAATCTCAGAACCCCGCAGTCTAGTCTCACAACCTCCCCCCGCCCCACCCCCGCCCCGGACTTCAAGAAGTGCGGGCTGTGCCTGGTCAATACTACTACTACCATCCATCTGTTCCAGGCGCAGCGCTGTAACTGACGCAACTGATCCAAAAGGTGGGTGTTAATGTTCTCCCCACTGTACAGATGAGGAACCTGAGCCTGGCTTAAAGTCATGCGGCTGAGGCGCCCTGGAAGTCTCCTTCCCCTAGCCTCTGCTCTTTACTGCACTAGACTAGCCACCCCATGGTAAGGGTCCCAAAATGAGTTAACAGAAACGGGGACGGCAAAATGTCGTGAGTGTGTGTTTGAGTATGTGTGGGAACCAGAGGCACGTGATCTGTTTCCCTCCCACTGCACCCTTTTCACAGGAAGTGGCCAGCATAGGGGCATCCACTGAGGTGGCAGTGGAGTGTATCCTGGCCCCTCACCTTGTCTCTAGGATCTGCTGGCGGATGGTCTTGACGTACTCAAAGCTGTCAAAGCAGCAGATGTCGTAGACCAGGATGTAGGCGTGGACGCTCCGGAGTCCCCTGCAGCAGGCGTCTGCCCACTCCTGCAACACCCCCAGCCAGCACCAAGGTCAGAGCAGCCATAAGGGCTCCCCTTTCCCCCAGCCACCTCCCACCATACACAGCACTCTCACCTGCCACTGCACCCTAAGCCTTGCACACTCACCGATTCCCCAGGAGGCCAGGCCCAGGGCACAACGGCAGAGCTCAGGTGTGGCTTCCCCACCTCCAAGCCAGGATGGGGCTGGGCCGCTGTCTGTCCTGTGCACTCCTGGAGCTGAGATCTGCCTTGTCCCATTTTGTCCCCCAATCCATCCATCCAGTCCTTTGTTCGATTACATTTATTAAGCGCCTCTACGAGCCCAGCCCTGAGCTAGTTGTTGGACCTGTTGAAATCCACTCTATCTTCCCAGGCCTCAGCTCAGATGCCTCTTCCTCCTCTAAGAAGCCTTCCTGCAAGCAGGGGACTATTCCCTTCATCGTCTGTGTTCTAAGAGCAGTTCAATTATACCTTGGTCAGAGCTGTTTCCATTCCCAGGTCCCCACTTCTGCTGTGAGCTCCTGAGAGGACGAGAGAGTCCAGCCTTCCTCATTTTTACATACCTCCTCCTCCTAGGCTCTTTAATTGCACTACCTAGGCTGGTGAACTCTCCACGGTCCTGAATCCCACCTGGTCCGTGCTGGAATCAACCCAATTCCTGCCTGTAACGCAGTCCTTAGATGCTACCTGATGTGCCCCTTCTGTTTGCTTCACTCTGCCCTCAAGGTTGAGGAGGAGGCCTGAGGAGAAAAAGGTTGAGACTGGATGCCTAAGGCGGGCTGATGTAGAGCAGGGCCCCAGGGCAGCTCCAGGGAGATGGAACTTCCTGCATGCCTGTGGCAAATTCTCTGGGAAGGGCCCGCAGCTCAAGCTGAACAGGCCCCAGGCAAGCCTGAGTGCACCAAAGAGAAGATTGCTTAAGAGATGAGTTAGCTAATTAACCTGCCAGCAGATGAGAATTGCAAGGGCAGCAGCAGAAAGCAGCCAGAGTGTGGAAAGAAGGGCCTCCCTGAAGTTTGGGGAGGCAGAGGCCTCCCAGGACAAGGGGAACTAGGGTTTTCTCTAGGAACTAGAGCCCCGGCAAAGGACTAGAGGGAGAGGCAGGCATATCTCCTGTGCCAGCTTATGAGCTGAACTGGGGCAGGGATCAGGCATGGAGGACTACAGCTGGTTCCACACTGCAGAGAAGGATTAAAAGGGGAAAGACTTGGGCGACAGTGGTGGAGAGTTAAGTCTGACTCCAGAAAAGCACTTCCCGATTCAAAGGCTTAGAAGCTGCTGCAGTGGATTTCTCCAGGGAGATGATGTGGCATCTTTTCTTTGGGCTGAGTTTCAACTTTGGTGCAGGGGGAAGATGCTGAGGACAAATCTAAAATCACAGGAAACCATGAACTGGTTTCTCAGGCCAGGAAAGACTGTATTCCACTGGACACAGGACCTCTGGGAGCTTGGGACCCCAGAGTGTACGCTGTTCCTCCTCCATCCCATGCAAGGAGCGGAGATCA